TGGTAGCCCAGGCTGGCCTCGAACTCACAGAGATCCGCCTGGCTCTGCCTCCCGAGTGCTGGGATTAAAGGCGTGCGCCACCAACGCCCGGCGGCTCTTACACTCTTTTAACCTCCTTTTTCTTTGTTTGTTGGTTAGTTGGTTGGTTGGTTGATTGGTTGGTTGGTTGTGGTGACAGAGTCTCACATATCCTCAGCTGGCATGGAACTGTTTTTGTAGCTGGTATGGCTTTGAAGCCCCGATCTAACTCTAAAGTACTGAGGTTCTGTGTGTCACTATGCACAGTTTCTGCCATACTACGGATGGAGCCCAGGGCTTTGTACATCTTAGGCAAGGACTGTACCAACCGAGAGCTACATCTTCAATCCACCTACTTATTTTTAATTCAACACATTCTCATGTTTTTCTCTTTTTCTTTTCTTTCTTTCCTTCTCTTCTCTTCTCTTCTCTTCTCTTCTCTTCTCTCTCTCTCTCTCTCTCTCTCTCTCTCTCTCTCTCAAGACAGTCTCACTCTGTAACCCAGGCTGGTCTTAAATACTTGGCTCCTTTCTCTCATGCTGGGATTATAGGAATACACTATTATACCGGGTGTATGAAATATTCTAGATCATCCTCCATGCTTTGCCATTTATACCATGCATACATTCCTATTCTATATATTATATATTATATAAAATATAATATATATAACATACAATATAATATACAGTGTATACTATTTTATAATTATTGTGTATATTATATACTATACACTATAATTATAGACTATATATGTTAAATATACATAGTAGATATAATTATGTATATTAAACCTTAACTATCATTCTCAATTTAAATGACTTGAGATAAAGGACCAAGTAACAGTTTTATATATATATAATCCTATCTACATTAAGAAATTTATGGTAATACAAATTTTCTCACATCTGTCAACTAAAATTGAAGGGAGACAAATGGATTCCTGTTCGATGGATTCTCAAAGATAGCACCCTAAGTACTGTAATCTACTCTTGAGGGCATAGTTACATGTGTTTCTTGTATGACAGACGTTCTTTTTGCTCAGAATACAGTGATGTGCAGACGAATGTGAGAGGTAGATAACAGTGCCCATGTGACAGCTTTGACTGTCCCTGCAGAATTACTGAATCATGATTGGTGTTGAGCTATGTGAACTCCCTGGGGCTTCTTTGTTGTTATTCCTCATTTGTTAGTTAGACACTTTTACATAACAGCTTCCTTGCTTTGATAGACTTAGAATTCCCTGATAATATTATGATTTGGGTCTAGTAAATCTATGAAGTATACTTAAAGATCATGGGAATAACTGATGAAAGAGTATTGAATCCTCTTGCACCCACTGCAGACTACCTTAATGATAGTTCTCATTAAAAGAGATGTGATTTTGCTATAGCTCAATCCAAATCAATGTAATGTAAAAAGACTTTTATGGCAAATTTTAGCTTTAAAGTTTTCTAAATTTTGGGGATCAACAATATAGAAACATTCTCTTCCCAACTCTTAGTACACCATTTTTACTGTTGTTGTTATTTGCCAATGAAATTTTATCAGTATTTCCTACTTCAATGCATTTGTTTGCCTCCCCACCAGAAATGGACTGTACCATCTATAATGAGAGCAGGTGGCTGGCCTGTCTCAACTTTGTGCCTCCAGGGACAACAATGGATATGTTAATTAAATACCCACTGAACCCTAAATTTGTGTGATCTTAATTACAATCCACACTGAACAAGGTGAAGGTGATTGTGATTGGTGATTGTATGCATTTGAAATGTGACTGTGTGGTTGATCTGTTCTACAGCTTTCCTGGGCTTGGTTGTGTGGTCTCTGTAGAGCCCTATGTTTTCCACTAGCTCTGCAAGGTGTTCTTTGCAATGATTGCATTATCTAGGTGAGATAGAACAACTGTTTTTATCTTCTGTGACTGTTCTGCCCTTTGGGCCCTTTGATTTAACCAGATCAGAGAAAAAACTGTTCCTTCAAAGGACTCCAATAAAAAAAAAGTGGAGCCGGGCGGTGGTGGCGCACGCCTTTAATCCCAGCACTCGGGAGGCAGAGCCAGGCGGATCTCTGTGAGTTCGAGGCCAGCCTGGGCTACCAAGTGAGTTCCAGGAAAAGGCGCAAAGCTACACAGAGAAACCCTGTCTCAAAAAACCAAAAAAAAAAAAAAAAGTGGAAAGTCCCTCTGCTCCAAGGACACTGTTTTGGGAATATTAAAGGACCCAAGAGAAAAGAAGATAAAAGAATACACTAACAACCCATCAAATATGGCAGTCTTCTGGTTTGTTGGACTGTGCTTCTTGAACTGATCACTTGGTTCTTTTCTAAATCTTCCACTGGGGAATATTGTAATATATTATGTCTAAAACTTCTGCAGAGGATTTTTAATATTTAATTAATGTTATAAATAACACAACTTGAATTACTCTAATACTACCCATGATCAACAGACTCATTAGGGGTTTAGCTTCTGAAATGTCTTAGAATATACTAAATTATGTACTGTATTAATATATTATTTATTTTTATTTTTCAAATGTTTATTTTATTTTTATTTTATGTGTATGTGCTAGTATCTATATACATGCGTGTGCACCGTATATGTGCCTGTTGCCCTCAGAGGCCAGAAGAGAGCATCCGATCCTGTACAACTGGAGTTACAGGTAGTTATGAACTGCCTAATATGGATGCTGGCTGGAATCTGAACCCAGAGTTCTGCAAGAGCAGTGAGTGCTTTTAACCACTCTAGTCCATTTCAGTTTATATTTAAGATATATAAGATAGAATTAAATCTCAGTAATAAATATTAAGTAGTTACTCTATGTAAGAAAAAGTGAAATAACACAAAATAATAAGACAGTATCTCAATGAAATTGAACAATATACATTGTATTTGATGAACACATTATTATTATTAATTATTATTATTATTATTAAAAGATTGATGTATTGATTATGTATACAGTGTTCTGCCTGCATGTATGCATGCATACCAGAAGGGGGCGTGAGATCTCATTATGGATGGTTGTGAACCACCATGTGGGTGCTGGGAATTGAACTCAGGACCTCTGGAAGCACAGCCAGTGCCCTTAACCTCTGAGCCCTCTCTCCAGCCCACAGATTATTATTTTAACTCAGTATATTCAATGGTACCAATAAATACCCTATATTGGTACACACATTGTAACACACCTTACTTGTGAATAAACATTTCTGACAAACCACATTTTAATTTGCTTCTATCATTAAAACTATTTCTTAAAGTGGTCAGTGGTTAAGAAAGGTACTCCGAGGGTCTTCTGAGAGGCATAGCAGTATAAACAGCTTTTCACACAGAAACTATTTTTACAAGAAGACTCAATATAGGTGAGAGACCATAACGCTGCATTTTCATATAATAAAGGGAAAACACTCGAGGAAATAGGCAGGAAGGAAATGGCTGCTGGTGTTTCCTCCTGAACTCTAAGCAGCTTTGAGGGTGATGCTGCTGCCTCTTCTGTAGTAAAACCCAAGGCTGAGCAGAGCCCTCCCTGTATCACCTACCTCTGATCAAGTGCATGTACCTGAGCTACTGGACTGCAACATCCAGCTGGCAAAGGGACAGCTGCCGCCTACATCCCGTGTGTATGATGATAGGAAAGCAAAACGCCTCAGCCTAGAAAACAGGGTTTGAATTCAAACACAGGAACTTGTTTGGGTTTTCATTGTCATACCTACATTGGTAAAATGCAATAGGAGGCATAAAAACCAAAATCCAAATCTGGCAGACAGGGCCTTGAACCTACCCAGTACCAAACTGAGATAGATCTGTGTGTCAGTGGGACAGAAGAGTGTCAGTCTGAATCTTTGTCAATCTTGGGTGGTATGCCTGGCATATGCTTTTCTCTATACTGTAAAGATAGATACCTATGGCCATGAGTCTCATGTGACAGGGTATAGGGTTAATCTTTTTGTAGAGATAGTTTATAACATCCAACTTCAGCTGTAGTGGTACATTGTCCTCAAGCTACGATCTTCTAATAGAGCTTTCAGACCTACCTCAGCACCAAGAGGAGACTTATAGTCTAGTGGGATGGACTTTGTGTTTTGACCTGTATCACTTTGATTGGGACATGGGCTGTGAAACTAGAGCATGATCCAGATTAGTGACAATGGTAGTGTTCAAGAGGTTACCTTAACAGATATGATTCCTCTTGTCACATAGTGTAAACCAAGACTACATCCACTGGGATAGAACAGAGGCTTGAGCATAGAACTTTGTCTTAGAACTTAGTGTTGGGGTGGTGTTTTTGGCACTGGGATGATCCCACAGCCTGGAAATCCAGATTTGTTGGATAACTGGGTCTTCTGGAATAGCCATAGTTTCAGTGATGGACATGTAGCGCCCTTCTATCACTCATTACCCAGCCAGGATCATATATTGCTGATTGCTGGACTTGGGTTTTAAATCCACTTTAGCACTGGGCCACCCACTGTGCTATGGGGAGGAACTGTGAGCCATACATGTGAGGAACTATTGCCTGTAAACCCAAGATGTGACATAGTTCTAGGACATTAGTGACCTCAAATGTGGCATAGTGGTCTATGACTGGTCCTTCCATGGTTATTCTTTAAAGAGCCTGGTAGTGACTGAACAGAAGAAGTCTGTGTGAACTTGGGACCAATGAAAACCTTGCACAGACTGACTGGCCATTTAAGGTATTCTTCCAGTTTATGCTGAACAACACACCAACTGCGGAGCTGAATAAACTGGGATTAAATTGTCCTCTAAAGGGAAACAATAAGAATACCCCCACAGTACACTTTCATACTATTTAGGACATAGGAGGTGCCATCTGGTGCTAAAATGATGAATTGGTTATAGGCTCAAAAGTTTTAATCAGCCCGATTAGAACTGTAAAAAAGCAGAAAACCAACAAAGTAAGGTAATGGAAAAAAATTAAAATCCTACTCCTATAATATACTGTATTATCCTGCACACCAACAAGAATCAGGACCTTCCAGAACACCATGACATCACCTAATTATGTCATCAAAGTAAGGTGCCAGGAAACAACCAGGTACAAAGCAGTAGCGAAAGATCTCAACAGGATAATTTAAAATGATTGTTTTAAGGAATCGCAATAAGCTTCTAGGAAGAACTGAGAAATGACTCAGTATTCTGAGAGGAAAACTTTGAAGTTGGAAGCTGTATTAAAATTTTAATCAGAAATCCTTGCATTGAAGAACATACTAACTAAAACTAAAAATGTGGTAAGGTCCAATAGCAGGGTGGATAAGATAGGACAGTGAACTTCTGTGCTTGGAGACAGACGGATATGTACAAACAAAGGATGGAAAAGAAAAAATAAGAACAATGATTGTGGGAACAGATAGGTTTTGGGCATTCAAGAAAGACTTAAGAATGAAGTGGGGTAGAGAGATCATTCTAAGAGAAAAATCATAGAAAACTTTGTAAACCTACATAACGATAGAGATATCCATGTACGGAAGATCAAAGGTTACCAGACTGAACTCATGTAAATCTAACCCAAGAGATTAAAATCCAAGCATTATACAGTGAGAGATAAAGAGAACAGTAACAAGAGGAAAAAAGCTCATAAGGGTGCCATGGTTCAACTGACAGCTAACTTCTCTCCTACAACCTCTTCCCAGATTCGCCGTAATTCTTATAAAGTAAACTCAGTTATAAATGTTCATTTTGAGAGGGTAAATAGTTATGATAAAAATATCTTACATCCCTCCCTTTTGAAGTTGGCTGTTTTGCTCTTGATGGCACATTTCTATTTCTAACCTCTGAAGGTTGTCTAAACACTGACTTTCAACATAATGTACCAAGTTTTTCTGCTGAAAAAAATTTGTCAAGTCTGGATGCTAATCACATGGTACAAGATTTAAAGAGAGTAAGTAAGCCAAGCCAGGCTTCCTGTTTGGTAATTGTCTCAGTTACTTTTCTGTTGCTGTGACAAAACACCACGACCAAGGCAACTTACAAGAAACGCATTAAATTTGGGGCTCACATCCCAGAGGGTTAGAGTTCATGACCATTGTGGTAAGAGGTGGGGCAGCAGCAGGCAGGGATGGCACTGGAGCAGTAGCTGAGAGCTTCCATTATGATCCACCGGTAGAGAGAGGAACAGGTACGATCCAGGCAGAGAGAGCTAACTGGGAATGTCATGGGCTTTTGAAACCTCAAAGCTTGCCCCGAGTGACACAGATCTTCCCACTGTCCCTCACCTCCAAATATTTCCCAAATATTGAAAACTCAGAGACTATGGAGGCCATTCTCATTTAAACCACAGTAGTCCTCATACATTTGTCTGACTTTGTAATAATTTATCAAAATTGGCAAGAGGTGAGTCTGCCCTGCATCATTGTGTTTAAGTGTGAAAATTAGATTTTTAAACTTTCTTGACTCTGCAGATCTCACCTAGCCAAGTTTCCACCTCTGCTGTGGGACCTGAATTTGAGAATTTGATGGTTCACATTCCAAAGATCTCACAATTATTTTTCCAGTGAGAATCTTTATTTAAAGCAAATAATCCATTCTTCATATTCACTTGGGGTTTTGCTATGAGATTAGTATTGAGTAAAGATCAAAACAAATTATTGCTTTTTGCATTCTTTTTACAGTATGATCTTGATGGACCTCTGAATCTTACAGATTTTCAGTGGCGGCATTGTATAAAACACAAATTTGGGTCTAAGCAACACCCTTAGAGCTAAGCCATGCTTCTATTAATTTAAACATTTTGAATTTGGGGTCACATATGTTTATTTTTCTTTATGAAGTTTTGTAAATTTTCTAAATTACATCTGTCATTACACAAATCATATTATCTTGAGGTAATCATTGTATCTAGCTCAGAAATAAAACTATTTTATCCAAGTTTTCCATTTTTGTGAAATGTGCTTAGCTATATTTAAGAATAATATATCTAAAATAATTTTTTATAATATTACTCCAATATTTGTATGGTAGTTTGATGCTCTAGCTTTGATATTACACTAGTAATACTGGAGTTGTATGCCATAATCCCTTGAATTAGTTCTTTCAATGGGAGTGATGGAATGTGAAGATATTTTTTAAAAGAATTATTTATTATTATTAAGGGAGAGGCAGTGCATCTATCTTCCTTCAATTCTGAGGCACACCATACCCAGTATTCTTTTTACTCAGTGAATTGGGAAGGTTTGTGTGGCTGAAGTAAGGACTAGTAGTTAAAACTGCACACTTCAAGATATTATCCTCTATTATTGAAGTCTATTGGAGTTTGATCTGTTGGATCTGAAATTGCTTAGGAACAGTGATTCCTTTCTTCTTTCATTTTTCCTCCCTTTACGTTCCCAGGCTCTACTATCATTTTGTTTTGAAGGCAAGCCATTTGTTCTCCAATTTTACAAGTCCATATAGATGGACGAAATGTTCCTCAGAATGGCATGCACCTGAAATCTAAGCCACACCTGATTTAGATGACTGTTAGGGAAATTTAGGACCTGAAAAAGGACTTTGTCTTAGTTTAGGATTTCCACTGCTGTGGTAAAATTCCATGACTAATGGCAACTTGGGGAATAAAGGGTTTATTTAATCTTACAGCTAATAGTTCGTCATCCGGGGAAGTCAGTGCAAGGACTCAAGGCAGGAACCTGGAGGCAGGAACTGACAGAGGCCAAGCAGGGCTGCTGCTTGTGGCTTGCTTCTCATGGCTTGTTAAGCATGGTTTCTTTTTTTTTTATTTTTTATTTTACAATACTATTCAGTTCTACATAATAGCCACAGATTCCCTTGTTCTCTCCCTTCCTGCCCCCCTCCCCTTCCTCCCAGCCCACCCTCCATTCCCACCTCCTCCAGCTCAAGGTCTCCCCCGAGGACTGGGATCGACCTGATAGACTCAGTCCAGGCAGGTCCAGTCCCCTCCTCCCAGATTGAGCCAAGCATCCCTGCATAAGTCCCAGGTTTCAAACAGTCAACTCATGCAATGAACACAGGACCTGGTACCACTGCCTAGATGCCTCCCAAACAGATCAAGCCAATCGACTGTCTCACCTATTCAGAGGGCCTGATCCAGTTGGGGGCCCCTCAGCCTTTGGTTCATAGTTCATGTGTTTCCATTCATTTGGTTATTTGTTCCTGTGCTTTATCCAACCTTGGTTTCAACAATTCTCGCTCATATCAACCTTCCTCTTTCTCACTAATTAGACTCCCAGCACTCCACCCGGGGCCTAGCTGTGGATGTCTGCATCCAGATTCCTCAGTCCTTGGATGGGGTTTATGGCACAACTATTAGGGTGTTTGGCCATCCCATCACCAGAGTAGGTCAGTTCTGGCTGTCTCTCGACCATTGCCAGCAGTCTTTTGTGGGGGTATATTTGTGGATTTCTGTGGGCCTCTTTAGAGCTTTGTTTCTTCCTTTTCTCATGTGGTCTTCATTTACCATGGTCTCCTATTCCTTGTTCTCCCTCTCTTTTCTTGATCCAGCTAGGATCTCTCACTCTCTTTCCCTCAACCCTCGTCCTTCATTGCTCCCACTCATGTCCATGGTTTCTTTTAACACTCAGGACCACTAGCCCAGTGATGACACCGCCCACAGTGAGCTGGATCTGCCCAAATCAATTATCAATTATGAAAATGTATCACACACTTGGCACAGGCCAACTTATTGGAGGCATTTTCTTAACTGAGGTTCTCTCTTTCAAAATGCCTCTAACTTGTGTCAAGCAGTTGGCATAAAACTAGCCAGAACAGAAACTATTTTAAGAAAACAACAAAAACAAGTTTTGAATTGATTTTATTATGGACTGAGACTATAGATGATGTGGGAATACAGTGAATGATTTTCGCATATGTGATGGGTATGAATCTTTGGAAACCAGAATGTAACTGAATAATCCCTCCCAAGAAATGGCCATACCCTTACCACTAAACTTAAGGTTTCTACAAAAGAAACTTCAAGTGATTAGCTTAAGGGTCTTTTGATGGATCGAGTAGTGTGGGTTATGTTAATGGGCTTGATGATATCACAGTGGACCACAGGAGGAGTCTCGGGAGGAATCTGGCTGAGAAGAGATGGAGCTGTAGTGACAGAGACCAAAGTCCAGTTTTAGAGACAGAGTAAGGAGGCATGGTCATAAATACAGTAAGAGTAAGGAAGGAATATGGAGAAGGTGACCCCATTTGAACTTCAGGAAAGAGCTCATGCCTGCTGACACCTTAATTTAGCTCTCTAAAGTTAATTGCAGGGTTCTGACCTCCAGAACTGCAAGATTATAAATGTGTTGTTTAAACCAATAAAAACATGATAATTTGCACAACACCTAGAAAATAATTCAGTTTGTTGTCATGAATGACTTTATAATGATGAAATTTTAATAGAAGACTGATGGTCCCTTCTTGAATAATTAAAACAAATAAAAAATATACTGTGTAATAGAGTTGAGAGGCAGAGCTCAAAGGCCAGGATTATCTACCATACACATTTCTGGTTACAACTGGACAAGGTTATTTTAACAATAGTGCACAACAAACAAACAAACAAAAAACACTACATCAAGAATCCTTATGTTAGTTTTCCTATGTGTTTGATCTTTGATGCCCTCACCATAATCTTGCCAGAAGATTTCAAGTTGGTTTTACAGAGACCCTCTAGAACAGTGGTTGTCAAGCTGTGAGTCACAACCCCTTTGGGGTCAAACAACCCTTTGGCAGGGGTTGCCTAAGACTTTTGGTAAACACAGATACTTGCATTACAATTCACAACAGTAGCAAAATTATAGTTATGAAGTAGCAATGAAATAATTTTATGGTTGGGGTTGGGTTACTAGATTACAGGATCACAGCATAGGAAGGTTGAGATCCACTGCTCTAGAAGGTTAAATGAAGTGCAAGGGCTCCAGTTCCTGGTTTCCCTACTGAGACAAAAGATACACTAATTAATGGCTTTTATGAAAACTTGGATTTACTGCAAATAAAATCAAATAATTCCTCTGAAGTGTTCATTACTAATTTCTGTTTAGCATAATTTGATTTGAATTTCTTATGGAAAACAGCTGAATAGAAACAGAGTTTATTATTATAATTTCAAAAGTTTCTTCATCTTAGTCACACTATAAAAGCAACATAGCCTTTGTAAATTTTGTCCTGAGTATATTCCCTGTTGTGTAGCACTCTGCTCAGAGGAAAGCCTACTAACAAGCATGAGGCTTAGAAGAAATGTAGGGCTTAATTCATCGAGGAGACATTTCTGAAAAGTAAAATTGTCAAGACTGAAACTTTTTTCCTATAGGATTTCTCATATTAAATATCTCTATGTGCACATTTGCATGTGCATTTTCTTTTTATTTAAACATTTTGGATGGAAAACCAATATATAATTATCAATTCGCATGTTTTAAACACAAGCTTAATCTTTGCTAAGTAATGACATATTGATAGTAACAAATCACAGGAAAAGGACCTCAGAGCCTATGTGACAGGGAAGTGCTCATGGGGTCCAGGGTGTAGTCAGAAAGCATCATTAGGATGCAACAGAGCTTTCCAAAAACCTACATGTATAGAAGTCATGTTGGTGAGTGTGTGAGTGTAGCTCTGTCTACTTAGACATGAGGGAAACAAAGACAACAACAATTGATATGATATGCCAATGTGGATGGGGGAAAACCATGACACCTCAGTCCTATGCAAAGAACTAAAGGCAGCTAAGGAAAACCAAGAGTGGGAGAAGTAGTTTTCTCTCAGGAAGTGTGTATCAACTGGGTAACCAGTCCCAAGCGGTCACCCCTAAACACGTATATCCGAGTAACTTTATACAGAGCAGGCTGTATTTGGGAATGTATATGTGTACATATACATACACAAATACATATACACATGTGATAACAGTTAATGAAGAAAGAGGGCATGCAATTTAAAGATAGCAAGGAGGGATTCTTAGGAGACACTGGAGGAGGAAAGGGAAGGGGAAAATGTTACAATTATATTGTAATCTTAAAACTAAAAAAGGAGGGAAATATTATTCACTAAGCTATACGTTATTATATTTAATTTTTTATTACATAATAAACAAGTTTTGTTTTCAGCCTTTAGTAATATAATGAGGTCAGTTTACATGACCACTTAGTAGTTGTGCAATTGAATGTATCAGAGCACAAGGAATGACCCACAGTCTTGGCTGATCGCCACACTGTTGGTTTAGTTTTCCTGAGAACAAATTCTAGTAATGAGAGACAATATTTGATTTAATTTTGCCTCTCATTTCTTTACACAATATATCAACCACACCTCCCCACATTTTGTTCAAAATAACAAAAGTTATAACTAATATAAGAAAAAGCACACACACATATATATAGTCTATACAGTCAAGAACCACATCAATAATGTCCAGTCCATTTGCACTTGACAAATTCAGAGATGGATAATGGAATATTTTCTCTGGAGTACATTCTTAAGGGGTCTCTGTTCTGACACCAATGTGTCTGATGCCAAGGAGACATCTGTCAACACAGACCTTTATGTGCTAAGCCCTTGTAGACTGTGACCAGCAACTTTCACAAGTCCCAGAGGTTTGAACAGCTCTAGTCATGGCCTGTGGCCATAACTAAATCTTGCACAAGCATGTTTAGAGCCATTACAGGTTGGCTTCTCATTTAATTGAGACGCCTTGAATAGGAACAGTGCAGATGGCTTCATTAGGTGTGTAACACAATGTTGTCAGCAACCCTGCTCTGAAATCCTAGAACTGCAGGCCTGGAAGTGTAAATACCCCGCAGGAATTGAGTTAGAAGCTCCATACCTCCTAGGAATCGTTATCAAAGTATGTGTTCTTTCTTCAGATTCAAAATAATTGTTGATTTATAGGATGGTTAGAGAAGAAATGATATAAGAACATGTGAAGGTATTTACCTTGTGATATTAATGTATGCCTAATGTAATGAGAACATTTGCCATTGGCAAAGGCGGCAACATCACAAATAGTTTCAAATTTTCATATTATTTTCCTCTAGATATTCTATTACTTTGTTTTTGCTGGTTCCTTGAAACATATTGAACTTCAGGTCATCCACTTTTCCATTGTGGTATAATGGACATTACTCATGTTACCCATTATCCTGTTCCTCTTAGAAAAATCCTTCTTCGCGTCCTTGAGCTGTGACACTACACTACGAGTTAGTTATTTTCTGGCACTCTGCCAGCCTTGTGTACCTGGGTTTTGCCCCTGCCCCCTGACACACATCCTCAAGATTCTTTCTCAGAATTAGGAAATAATGAGTCAAGAGGTAAACACCGCAGTTGAATATTAGAAAGTATAGACTCAAACAACTCTCTTTAGTATTTGAATGTGTCATCCCAGGGTTATCTAGCATCTATTTCTGGTCATCATCATTCTTACAAAAGGCATTTCTCTTCAGCTGATCTGAATTTTAGTCTCTATGAGATTTTCCATTTTTCATTGACGTTATGGTATTGTGTATGTATTGCGTGTAAATACTTGATCTCATCTGTTCTTAAAGTCAATAATTTCCATCTTAGGACTTGACCTCACCAGTGCTGTCTGATATTTTGGCCACATTTTTTGATGTTTCCTGTCCCTTTTTCTTGAAATACTTTTAGTGATATCTGTGACTTTCGGGGAGCTCTATTCTTTCTTATATTTTGTTCATATTTTCGGTCTTAATTTAAATTTCATTATAAAGTGTTCAGTTCCCTTTGTTAATCACTACATCTCTATCTACTTACCTACTCTCACAATGCTTTGTATTAGGCTTTTCCTTTGGGAGAACAACTGGGAGATTCTCATACTTTACTATACCTTCTTAAAAATTGGGTGACACTCCCTCTCTGAAGCATTTCTGGCAGATATATTTTATAATCATTACAGCCTAGCTTCTTATTAAAAATATGATTACATTTTTACTTTCTGTGTCTCTGGGGGGTGCGTTATGCTATATTTTATATGTAGACATCAGAGTAAAACTTAGGGGGCACATTTCTTCATTTATGTTAATCATGTAGGTTTTGGAGATGGAACTCAAGTCATCCAGTTTGATGGCACATGTCTTTACCAGCTGAGCTACCTCTCCCACCTCTCACTTCTGTTTTCTTCTGTGTTATAGATGGGTTTTGTTGTTGTTTTATGTTTTTTTTTCCGGTAAGGCTTCACAGTTAGTTCTGTTTGGTTTGGAAAGGACTGGAAGAAAAACCCATATGACAATCTGGCCACACTGAGCTGACTAGGATGTACATTTCTAATAACTTAATTAAGTGAATAACTAACTTAAAATCTGGCTTCTCATAGAAAAATCTATCCCAAAATGCAATTACAGACAGGAAATAGGAACTGCAACATGAACTCACATAGAGATGAATCACACAGGAAAGTGTCTGTCTTAGTCCTACAACTAGAATTTCTGGCCAAATTCATTTTGCTTCAGTTGTCTGTTTTTCTAGTTTTTTTTTTAACTCCCTCCTGCAAAGACATAATTAACATAAACGATTATGTAGATTCCATATAAATAATCACGATTTTTTACTCTTATTGCCACCCTCGTCTACTCATTGAAGGATTGTATTTTCCTGGTACTGGAAAACCTAGACCAAACTACCAATCACTTAAAATTACCCAATAACTATATATCTAAAATGGCTCAGATCATAGTAAATTTTCTAATTTTTATTTTTAAGAAATTCATTCCTTGCCCCTCTTTCCTCAGCAAAATAATCTCACTTTCTGGTCAAGTGGGGCTCATAGAGAACAAGGAAAATATGGTTAACTTCTCTGAAATTAGCAGATTTTTTTAAACCAGTTCTTTCAATGGGAAGGTTAGTGGGTTTGAGGAAGAACCTCCTTTTGAATTTTCTGACCTCCTTTGCCTTCAGATGGGCATTGACTTAATTAAACAGATTTCTCCTAGATACACCTGCTGTAATACATCTCAGCACACTTAAATTTCTCTCTGAGCAAGATCATACACCTTAGCGGGATAATTTCTACAAGGTTGTACTGCATTTTTAACTGGAAGGTGCACATACATGTCCAGGTATCCAGATGACTCCTTAGGAATCTTTGCCACTTTGATTGTTTCAAGAAACAGCACCCTCTTGATACCACCCACTTAGAGGATAGATTCCCAGCCCTGCCCCTTCAAAAGAAAATAATAATCTCCCTCTCAAACTGCAGTCATCATCATGCTGTCTTTCAAAACTGTCCAGAATCAACTCTGTACCTTTATAATGAGCCCAAACTAGAAAGGATCACATTTGAACAACACAGACTAACAGGATTGATAAACTGAATTACTTTTATGAGGCTCTCTTCAATAAAGAAAATTATTCAGACTTGAATTCTGTGACTTAAAATTTCATTAAAAACAATGGACTAAGTGAAGGTGTTGTTGCTGATAAATATTTTGAGGAAGTCATCAATTTGAGCACAAAATCTCAATGAAAGCTAAGTTTGAACTACTTTTTAAGTCTTGGGACCCTTTTCATCCTACTGGGTTGCCTCATCCAGCATAGATATGAGGATTTGTGCCTAGTCTTAGGAAATCTTGTTATGCCATATTTGGTTGATATCCCTGAGATGCCTGTTCTTTTCTGAAGGAAATGGAGGTTCAGTGGGTCTGGGAGAGAGGGGAGGTGGGGAGGAACAGGGAGAAATAGAAGGAGAGGAGAGTGTGGTAGGGATGTATTGTATGACAGAGTAATAAAGAAAAAATAAATTTAGGTAGCACAGTTTTGAGAAAAAAATAAGTATTAAGTTTAATGATGAAAATATTATAAACAATTCCATTAACAGACCTAATGGCCAGTGATGTTAAAATATCTACTGACCAATTTTATCATGAATATGTTTTGATTGCTAGATCAAATTCATGCTTTGGGGGTTTGTATGAATTGCAGAAACCACCAACTTAAACACCTTAGAAGTACACCAAAAATATTGCCTTTTCTGCCTAATGAAATTGATTTTTAAAAGAAGTAAAAAAAAATATCTGTCAATCTGGGCAGTGGTGGCAAACACCTTTAATCCCATCACTTGGGAGTGAGAGGCAGATGGATCTCTAGATTTCTGTGAGGTTGAGGCCAGCCTGTTTTACAGAGCTAGTTCCTATAGCATGAATCTTAAAAGGTCTTATTTATAAAATCAAACCCGGAGCCAGATATTGGGATAAAGCTGGAAGATCAGAGAAACAGAACAAGCCACAGCCACCTCACCTTGCCAGTTCCTCACCTGATCCTGTTTCCTCAGACTGGAATCCTCTGAGTCCTCATTCAAATGAATCTCAGCCTAACTGCTGCTCAAAAGCCTAAAAGCTTAACCAGGCCAAAAGCTTCTAGTTTCTGGTCTTCATGCCTTGTCTACCTTTCTGCCATCACTTCCTGGGATTAAAGGCATGAGTCATCATGCCAGGCTCTTTCCAGTGTGGCTTTGAACTCACAGAAATTCAGATGGATCTCTGCCTTAGGAATGGTAGGATTAAAGGTGTGTGTACCACCATTTTCTGGCCTCTGTATCTAGTGACTGCTCTGTTCTCTGACCCCAGATAAGTTTATTAGGGTGCACTTTATTTTGGGGAACATAATTATCACTACAAGTTCTAGGGCAGCTAGGGCTGTTACACAGAGAAACTCTTCAAAAACAAAAACAAAAATCTGTCAAACAAAGATGAATCTGGAAATGTATATGTGATCCAAAATAAATAAATTCTGGAAATTACTTACATAGACCCATCATCGATGACCACCGATGTCAATTTTAAGAATTGATTGGCCGGGCGGTGGTGGCGCACGCCTTTAATCCCAGCACTCGGGAGGCAGAGCCAGGCGGATCTCTGTGAGTTCGAGGCCAGCCTGGGCTACCAAGTGAGTCTCCCAGGAAAGGCGCAAAGCTACACAGAGAAACCCTGTCTCGAAAAATAAAAAAAAAATAAAATAAAAAAAAAAAAAAGAATTGATTACAGGTTCATATATTAGAGCCTTCTAAGTAATTAATGGATCTTAATAAAGTCTAGTAAGAAGTACATGAGGTAGGTAGTATAATTTCTATTGTACAGATAAAGAAACATGGTTTAGAGAGTCTGAAGGACTCCAGAAAATCTCTCTATTAGTAAGCAACAGAACTTGAATTAACCATCAGTTCAGAGTGGAGTTATGCTCTGAATCTTTTCTTTTCTTTTCTTTTTTTTTTGAGACAGGGTTTCTCTGTGTAGTTTTGGTGCCTGTCCTGGATCTCGCTCTGTAGACCAGGCTGGCCTGGATTTCAGAGAGATCTGCCTGGCTCTGCCTCTGAAGTGCTGGGATTAAAGGCATGGGCCACTGCCACCTGGTATTATGCTCTGAATCTTTAGGCTGCTGGAAATGATCCTTTGAGAAAGTGGAAGCCAGCACGTTGTTTGATTGGGTTGGTCCTCAGATGGAGATCAAACTCAAGATTCCTGAAGTTCCATAACTTGTCATGTGCCTAGTCCTGAGGTTTTTAGAAGATTATTTCAAGGCATTAGGAATGTTTTCAATATGATTCAGAAACAGCAATAAACCTTGAGAAAAAATACAGTAAGAGTAAGAGAAAGACATTCCTAAACATGCAATTATTATATTTGCCAGTAAATAATAAGCAAGACTTAGGTGAGTAGGATATTTGAAGAGAAATAAAGTAATTGCGACAGATATTTGAATGTAAAAATGTTGCTGGGTGTGAAACCAGAGAGATATGTGAAGAGGATCATGATGTGGCCACATTATTGGTTTGGGAAAGGGAGTAGCAGTTGATAGAGAATGGAAGTCCTTTGTAGTCTGCACTGGTAGAGCTGCACTTGAGTACTGCACTCAGTGGTACCCATGCTTACCTATTCACAAGAGAGAGCAGGTTGAATGGAAAGGACCTGAGGACTGGTCAATAAGAATGATCTGACTACAATGTTGGAAACGTCCAGGAAGAGAAAATGATTGCATTGTTTTGTTTGTTTGTTTGTTTGTTTTCTTAATGCTCAAAAGTAGAAGTCTATTTATGAAAATGCATTATCATATTTGTTTGTTTTTATGTTTGTTAGTATTTTCATTTATATAAGAACAAGGGCAGTTGGATATAAATCAAAAGCTTCAGGGAAATATAAGAAAGTAACTACTGACAGTTGACAAAACAAAAAAAAAACTCACTGAAGATTAGAGACTAAGTATTCATCTAGAAAAGATTCAGTTAATCAACAAATTGATCTATTTTGTTGGCTTTTTTCTTTATTTTTAATAGTACTTGTTTTCCTGGTATTTTTGGCTGATATTCTCACCTTGACTAATTATTTTGAAATTGTGAGGATGTAACACAGTCGGTATAAATATGTTCACGATAATTTACATCCCCTTTTCATTGTGGAAATTTATGTTAGATGGCACAGTCGTTCTTCACTCTGTATAGTTTGCTCAAAGACATCTCAATTAACAAGAGTGTCCTACCTTCATGTAGATTTCAAAGGACTGGGTGATTTGTACTATGATGAAATAATGTGCATCTTGGCATAAAAATGAATGGATGCCTCCTGGCCCTGTGTACATATAGTCCTCAGAGTTCATGATAATTAGCATGCTTGCTGTGCAATTTATTTCTGCTAGATTGTGGCAGCTAAAGGGCAGCTTGCAAGCCATGTGTGTTACTGACATAGGTAAACAATGAAATCATTTTGATTTTGTAAGCTTTCCTTATGTTTTTCTCCATTTCCAAAGAGGAAACCTTCTGAATGCAAGTCAACGTATTAACTGCTGAGGGTACATTTTTTTTTCGGTTTCTTTGACAGGATAATTCTACTTCAGGACTGTCTGGGTCATCTGAAACAATATATCTGTGTTTGAGATTTATTGTAGGTTCATACAGTTTACAAATAACTATTTAATATGATATTATAGCTGCCAATCAAATCAGGAAGACATTTTGTGTTTATATCTATTGAATAATTATTGCAATTTAAAGGACTGTTTAAACAATGCTTTAATAATCTTAAATAAATGTATGTTAAGAATATTAAAGGATGTTTGGCCATCTGATCACCACAGTAGGTCAGTTCAGTCTTTCTTTAGACCATTGCCAGTAGTCTATTGTGGAGGTATCTTTGTGGATTTCTGGGGACCTCTCTCTAGCACTTTGCTTCTTCCTATTCCCATGGGGTCTTCATTTATCATGGTCTCTTTTTCCTTGTTTTCCCTCTCTGTTCTTGATCCAGCTGGGATCTCCCGCTCCCCTAAGCTCTCTTTCCCTCAACCCTTGCCCTTCATTACCCCCACCCCCTTCCAGTTTGCTCATGTAGATCTCATCCATTTCTCTGTCATTAGGCAATTCCTTTGTCTTTCTTAGGGTCCTCTTTTCTAGTTAGCCTCCCTGGAGTTGTGAGTAGCAGTCTAATCATCCTTTGTTTTACATCTAGTATCCTCCTATGAGTGAGTACATGCCATGTTTGTCTTTCTGAGTCTGGGT